TCCCGCTTCCTCCCAAAAACAAATGCCCCGGCCCCCCCCAGCCAGTGGCCTCACAGCCGCCCGGACAGCCCCAGCCCGTGGCCTCACAGCCGCCCGGACAGCCCGGGCCCGTGGCCTCACAGCCGCCGTCAGCACCTCCTGGTGCGGGCTCACAGTGGCCACACGCTCACAGGTGGCCGCACGCTCACAGGAGGCGGAGGGCAGTGGGCAGAGGGCGCAGGCTCACCCCAGCTCAGAGCTTTTCCACCCAGCGCCACCCGCCCTTTCTGGGGAGCCTGCCCTACCCCCCCCTTGCCTCGGCCCCGCCCAAGGGAGACTGTGATTGGCTGAGCCATCGGCCCACGCTCCCTTGGCCAGAGATTGGTCTAGGGGTCCAATGAGCCGTGAGGGGATATTTGCAGGGGAGCGGGGTCGCGGTAGGGGGGTGGGGGGCTTTGGGCTGTAAGGAGGGAGCCCACCGCCCGCATGACCTGGGCTGTCTGCTTTTTGGTTTTGTCTTTTAATATATTTTTTAAAGTTTTGCTGTAGGGTGTGTTCGCTCACCAGAAAGGGGAAGCGAGGCGCACTGGCGGCGGCATGGCCACCCACACCCCTGTCCTGCACTCTCCCCGTGGATGTGGCACACACGCCCGGCATGTTTTCCAAGGTGCTGGGTCCAGGACTCGCATGACACCATCGGCCATGTGGGACCCAGCACCTTAACCCCTGCACCATGGGCTGGCCCCAGCCTGGGTCCTGTGGAGGTCCCTGGCAGTGAGGCCCAGTCCCTGCTGTGCGTGCGAGGGGAGTGGTGCCTCTGGGACCCGCGCCCTGGAGAGGCCGTGGGGCAGGCGGTTTCCAGCCCGGGGCTGCCTGGGCCGGTCCTCGTTCCTTACAGCCAGAAGCACCTCGCCCTGCAGCTGGGCGTTCTCCTGTCCCGTGTCCCAAGGCCTGCGGGGCTTGCTGGCTTTCCCAGGGACACAGAGGGGGTGAAAGCTGGGAGCCCCGGCTGCCTGACGCCAGAGCCACTGTGCCCCTCCGCTCCACGACACCCCACTGCCGGGCTCTGTGGCCACCTCTGCCTTTCAACCAGGGCCCCTCAGACGGGTGTGGTCCTTGGCCCCGGCCCCCAGACCTGGCGTGCTCTGAGTGGGTGAGTGGCTCCCAGACGGGGCTCTTGTGCTTCTCTGGGCCCGCCTCCAGCAAGGACAGCGGGAGAAGAGCCGATGTGTTGGCCGCACCCCGGAAGCCGCTCTGGGCCACAGGCAGGGATCGTAGCCGTCGGGCAGCACTGGTTACTGTCTCCTCCGGCCTCAGCTGAGGCGAGGAGGCCGAGGGAGGGGCAGCCTGCCGAGGGCACACGGCCAGTGCCTGGCAGAGGACAGTCGCCCCGTGCTCGGACCACACGCCTGCCTGGCCTCGGGCCGCACTCGCGAGGTGAGCAGGTCTGACACCTCCCCACGGTGGGCCGCCTGCCCACAGCCGTAGCGTGGCCTGAATCTGAGGGGCAAGACAGACGGCATCTTGGTTCCAGCGCCGTGGCAGCTGCCTTGGCTGAGGGCTTGCAGGACCGTGGCCCCCGGCGCCTGCCAGACCTGCCGACTCAGCCTGCCGCCCACCGCCCAGCGGGCCACAGCCTGACCAGGACTGCAAAGCACGTGCGAGGGCCAGGCCGGTGCTCGGTGGGCCAGGCAGGCTGGCCTGGGGAGCGGGCACCTCGGGTCCTTCTGGAAGCCAGCGGCGTGCAGGGCTGTGGAGAGACCACACTACGGGCTTGTCCTCGAGGCCGGCCCGCAGGCCCTGGCAGTCCGGGCTGCTCTTCCCCGTGTGGGTCAGACGGAGTTGCCATGCCAGCCCCGCACACGCAGCAGTGGACAGCCTACCTTGGTGAGGCTCAGCGCCGTCTCCTCGGACAGGGGTCGGGCAGGTAAGCTCAGGGACACGTTCTGAAGGTACTTCAGGGCGACTCTGGGCCCCGGGAAGGTCCTGCTCTCTGCTGTCAGGCTGGTTATGATGGGACGGTAAACATCTGCTGGCGTCTAGGAAACAGAGCAGGCGTTCTGGTGAGGTGAGAGCCGCGGCGTCCCGGACACCCGACGTCCTCCCCGATGGCGTCACCTGCTGCGCTCCCCTCGGTCATGTGCACTCACTGAAGAGGCAGACAGAGAGGCAGAAGACCACAGATCGCCCCAGGAGCGGCCACGCCACAATCCCTTCTCCTCCATTCTCCTCTCAGGATTTTGGGCATGCATACACACGTGCCTGGCCTGAGTTTTAGCCGCCGTGTCCGGGACTTGAATCACAGTTCAAACACGGGAGCCCAGCGACGTGGCTACCACACATCTGCTGGCCCCACATCTTACCCTCATGGCAGCCCCCGGGCACGGAGAGGTGCCACAGATAAGCTGCACAGCAGGGGGCGGGCTCTGAAGCGTCAGAGTCTGTGCGCTGTCATACAGAGACCCCAGTGGGGGCAGTTCTGTGACTACAAATCTAATTCCAGAGGAAACGTTTTCTACGGAATCGCCCTTTTCCTCCGAGGCCAGGAGACAGGTCAGAAAAGTCGCACCCGGCGCCCTGCCTCCTGCACGGACGCCCCAGCAACTGCCCAGCTGCCTGCTTGTCCCTAAGGACCCGGCCTGATCCCTCAGTCCCTCAGGTTCCTGGAGATGGGGACCGGGGCTTCTCTTTATTTTGGAGAGATGTTTGCTATAGGGCATGTGTGCTCCCCAAAAAGACAGAGAGAGACAGAGAGACAGAAAGCGAGAAATCACCCCCGGCAGGATGGCCACACCGCAATCCCTTCTCCTCCATTTTCCTCTCAGGATCTTGGGCACACACGCACACACCCAGCGTGAGTTTAAGCCACCACGTCTGGGACTCGAACCGCAGGTGACTATATGGAAGTCCAGCGACATAGCCATTATGCTAACTGCTGGTCCCCTGAGAGCTTCTCCTTGGCCACCCTTCACGCCAAGAATCAGTGCAACTTGGCTGTCCTTGCTCTGTGGCTTCTTGCCAGATGTCCCACTGCCACGAGAGCCTGCCTGCATGCAATTCCATCTCTCCTGGTGGGTGGCTGGGAAGAGGTGGCACCCAGCAGGCCAAGGAGGGTCCACTCACCTCGTTGGCCGTGGACATTGGGAAGGTGCCGGGGGGCGTGGGAGGCAGGAGAGCATGCTTGCCTGGAAAGACAACGTCTGTTAGGGGTGAGGCGTGGCCCCAGGAGGGCGGCCCTACCAGAAACTCTGGCTTCGGACTCGGCAGGGAGAGCCTGAGGATGAGCAGGAGGTCAGCCTGAGGGGCAGTGGGGACTCCCAGACCAGGTCACTTTTCTGTTTATATTCTAAATTGCTTTAGAACACCCTCCATACCAGCCATCATATTTTTTTAAAAAAAGGTCTCAAACGAGGCGTTTAACGATTTCAAAGAACCGACAGAGAGAAACAGACTCAGTGCATCCAGACTAGGGTGCTGCTCGCCGCCAGGCGGAGGGGTGGGTGGCACCTCTGCACACAGGAGGCTGAATGTCCCCAGGGAGGCGGCGGGGAGGCCCCTCCTGAGCCCGTCCACTGGGTGCAAGCCTTCCAGCTGGCCAGTGGCGGGGGGAGCTGGTTCGGGATCAAGCTCCGTCCGCCAACCCCTGCCCTGTCCTGGCAGCCCTAATCTTGCTACTCCCCGGGGAGAATACGACTTAAGC